ACAACTATTTGATGTAAAATTTGATAGTTTGGATATGTCAAAGTTCAAAAAAAAAAAAATTTGAAATTTGAGTTTAGTTAATAGAATAATTACAGCCATCTAATGTCACATTGGTCAAGGTTAATGTGACCTATTAAAGGTAAATGGTCTCCTTCTATACTTTCTCTTGCCCTTCGATATAGAGTGAGCAAAATATTAAGCAGTTGTTAAGGGTGGCATTTTCCATTGAGAGTGAGCAAAATATTAAGCAGTTGTTAAGGGTGGCATTTTCCATTGAGAGTAGGGCCATGTTGTGAGAAACAGCTAAGGGTAGGTGTGCGTGTGTGCGGGAGAGAGAGAGAGAGTTATTAAATTTATGTTCAGAAAAAGATTTAAAATTACATAAATACTATATAAAGTACGTGTCTTGCACAATGCTCCAATTGGGGAATACAGAAGGACATGGTTTCTTTGCATCTAGGAAATGCGTGTTTGGCAATAAATATATTTTAATCTTAATTTTTAGAGAATATATAATCTTTAACATGGAGATCATGAATATGAAAAAAAAAAAAATTTAAAAAACTAGAAATAATAATTATATTAAGAAAACATTTGGACCGCTAGTGACACTTGTTTTCAATATTTGCATCCATCTTTAAGATGGATGCTTTATACCTCTGAACCGCATATTGTAGAAATGCGGTCCAGCTCGCATAAAACAATTTTCCTATAGAGAAATTAAATTTTTTTAAAGGAAGTGCATCCCCGGACGCACTTCTGCAATGGTGTCCCCTGACTCACTGGGCATCTATTTTGTAAGTAGCGGTTAAAATTGGTCATCCCAGAAAAGTTTAAAATTGATAGTCTCAAAATTATAGAAAAAATTAATGTAAAAAAAAGGAATTTTGTTTGATTTTTTGTTTTTTGTTTTTTTTTTTTTTTCTAGTTTCTTACACATCACTGGGGAGATTAACTAATGCAATATCTCTCTCCAAAATAGATTTTGAAGAGAGGATTCATTTAAATGGATGAGTTGGCCAACTATTGAAAATCATGTCCAATTTTTAAAATATAATTCAACAGAAATATGAAAAATTATTGTCCCTTTCCATTTAGTTTTACTTTTCTTCTAAGTTCTATTTTAGTTTCTAGAAATAGTTTCTAGTTTCAACTTGATAGGAGCCTGTGCAGTAGTTCTTAAAGGAATTTTTATTTAGTGGTAACTTTTATTTTAAATTGATAGATTTCAAGGAAAGCAATTTGTAATATTCATATTGTATAGTCCTACGCTTATTTATTCTCTCTGAAATTGGATATTTAGGCGATGCCCAAAGAATGAAATATAATTTTTGGAGTTCGTTTTTCAAATGCTGAGCGCAAAAATGTGACTCTCAGGATACTTGGAAGGAAATGGCTGAGTGCAAAAATGTGGAGACTTTTAGGATACTTGTAAGGAAATGGCTGATAAGAAATTACAAAGTCCCGCTCTTATTTTTTCGTCCTTGTATATTTATATAATAAAAAATATACAAAACGACCATTTATTTTTTATACAAAAAGATAACAATCACTCAATTCTTTCCATCATGTAAAGTGGGCAAGACTCAAAAAGGTTTAGGACACCAAGCACATCTCGATATAAATATATTTCTACCACAAATTCCATGAATTTGGAGCTCAAAAAACAGCACAAATCTGATGATCTCTAAATAATTATTTAAAAGCTCATTTCAATATACCAGTCCTGATAAATTTTAGATCTGAAATGCATGTCCAAGATGAATAGGAGATGAATTATGTGTGGGTTAACTGACTATAATGGGTACAATGCCTAAAGCGACCCCATGTGTAACACTTAACACAGCACCCAAATGGTCATTCACAAATGGTTTTCGGCCAAAAACAATACCCTCTCTAACACTTAACAGAGCACCCAACCTTGCAAAAAGATAAATCTTATTCAGCTTCCACGACCATATTTGCACACAAATCTGTGTCAGCTTTCCCAGATGGGCCTGCCACTTTATGCACCAAATGAAAGGAAAAGACACTACTGACATCAAGCATGGCTTTGTCCATAGTATAAATTATTGCGAAGAGTTGAGGTATAATCTCCAAAGAGTGTCTTTGAGGGTGGATGAAGCTTGAAAATGTAAATAACCGGCATGCATGCCACCATTTTCTGCCTTGTCATGCTGCAATCCAAAAACTCACCAAATGTCGCTTCATCGAAAGGAATTGACTCCATGAGGAAAAAGAAACAGTCCTGGCCCAACCTTTCCACCTGAAAGAACAAGGAAAAAAGACATTACCTTCGATCAAGCTAATAAAACCACCAATATCATCTTTTTGTTAAGAGATTTGAGTGAAATTTTCACCAGTAGATAAGTGTGTTATTTTGGTTTGACCATTTGGAAGTTAATGGTGTAAGAGCTAAGTACTAGAGTTAAAAATTGAGCTGGTATGGGGACCTGGGGTTTGGCTCTTGGCCTAGTTTTGTGGGGTGTAAGGCTGTATCACTAACATTCAATGTTTCAAAACACAGCCCAGGCTCAGAACTCACCCCAGGACAAGCAGTATGACCTGGGTGAGTCTGAGTCGACCTGCTCGAGTCTTGCCAAGCCTCCCAAAGAGCTGAAAAAATAAAATTGAAAATTACTAAAAAAACATAAAAATGTGGAAAAAACAAATGATAAACAACATAAAAAGCATATAAAATATGTGAAGATAAGTTTTCAAAGTATAGAAAACAAAAAGAAAACTGGTTAAATTTAATCTTCTCAAAATTTCTAAGAGAATCAATTGAGAAAATATTAAAGACATAAAATTATAAAAAATCCAAACAAATCTAATTAAAAATCAATTATATATGATTTATACACAGATTACAACAATAATAAACTAACTACAACTAATTACAAATAAAATATAAATAACCCAAGTTGTTGAGTGTTCTGAACTCAGCGTATGGTGAGTCCGAGTCAACTTGCCTTTTTCTACTGCAAACATCTATCTCTCAATTTGAATAACATCTTACCAACCTTAAAGACAAGGACGGAATTTTGAAGTTTGGCACAAAAAGGAAAACAATGAAATTGTCATCTGTGACCCATGCTTACTGTTATTAGGATAGGGACATATCAAAGGGATGTTCCCTTCAAAAAATGAACAGAACACTCTAATTAAAACCAAAGAGTGCATTGTTTTTTTCTCCTAGAGGTAATATCATCTTGCACATATTCTTATCATACAGTATTTGGTAAGAGAAAGCATAATGACTACTCTGTTACTCAGTCCATTGGGGTCACTGACACCCACTAAAAATGGAGTATGATGTGGAGTCAGGTCCTTCTCTGATGGATCCTGCTTCCTCTGCATCATCATTCATCATGCCATGGGATGGTGATGACACCAAGGGCTATGGGATGGTGATTACACCAAGGGCTATGGAATGGTGATGACACCAAGGGCAACAGTTTTCCTGAGTCCATAGGTTGCAAGATCCTCATCCATTAGATGATCAACATATTTATCAGTGCTATTGTTACCTGAAGTTGCGAAAACCTGAGATTGTTCATAATGAGGATCAGTTGCATGTCATGTAAACCGTCAGCCAAACACCTGATCGCTAGACACTTAAAGAGCTTTTCCAGAAGGCCACTCTGGCTCTCAAAATCTTCATTATTTTCCATAAATTTCACGCACCATAATACACTCTGCACTTTTCTCCAGATGATGGGTACCTTTTTTGCATTCATGGAGATAAATGCCATTGGAAAATCCACACCTTCTAGTATTGTAATGCCCATAGGAATACCCTCAGGTATAGTTGGGAATTGTTGCTCAGTTGCCACTACAATGTTGCTTGTTTGAAAATACTGAGATAATCTTGAGGTAAAATTAAGCTCCCCATCATCAAGTATAAGAACGAAGTAACCCAGTTTCGTAGTCCATAGCGGGAGAAGCTGGTAAGGTTCATGAGAGGCAATCTCTGGTGCACATGGGACCCCCATTAATGAGCCATCAAAGCCTGGAATGCTATGTGAAAACCGGCAAGAAGCCCCATAGCGGCATCCCTGCAAAACAGTTGCTCCACATAACATGGGCATGTCAAATGAATCATAAATCTAAAACAGAAGATGCTTGCATAGAATCATCTGCCCCCCCCCCCCTTACCCTTAAGTATATGTGTGTGTGTATTGTTTCCTAATTGGTAACAAAAAAAGTTTATTAACAAAATAATGTGTTTTCCTAAGAGAATACATGTTTTCTAAATGATTATTAATCTAAAAAACTAAAAAAGCCCATCAAGTTTATTGCTCATTTAAGAGTGTTCCTCTGTATCACACATCTCATTATATAGACTGCTATTCTCAATGTTTTTTCTGTTTGTTTCCATTCTATTTTTTCCTGTGAAGTTTTTAATTTCTTGTTTTCCTGTAGTTTATAAACTTCAAACAAAACCTTCTTTTCGTTCTCATAGGCATCCTCCACGTTTCATTTTCGTCTGGTTCAGATATCCAATACTATCTATGTAAAAAAAAAAAAAAAATGATCTAACAAGAATAAAGCACACTTCTCTGATAAGTAATTACCTCTAGACTAAAAAAATATCTGCATGGCGGTTTCATCTCATGAAGGAAATGAAGAAACTGGCATTGGCTTCCTCTGTCACATGATCCATTCAGAAAGAATCTACATACAAATGGGTCATTTACAAGCTTCTCTTGTCCATGTTGATTTTCAGAAACATCCTCAGTGCATAAAACTCTTATCTGCCACATAAAGTAACCATTGTTGCTGAAGTATGATGGATAGATTAGAAAACGTGCATGTGCACTAAAAACAGAAATATTACCTCTTTGTACTTTCCTATTATTTTGTTTCGTTCGGCAAAGAAAAAAAAGATTACCTCCTTGATTACGCTTCTCAAATTAGCTGCCACAGAGCTTGCTTGGAAATCCCTCGGCGTAACAAATGGTGAATCAATACAAACATTGGTTTGCATATTAACCTCAAGAAGGCTAGTTCCAGCACCTATGTAATTGTCGTCCTCACTATCCCCCTGATGAAGGAGGCAATTATGTCTTAATTCATTGGGAGTATAGTAGTTGGGTAGCACGTGAGACCCGACAAGAAAATTGGGACGGAATCGGTGCATTGCATGGAGTAACACGTCATCTGCACACAAAATCTCAAGGATCAACTATGCCACATTTGAACCTCCAAACACACACAACCCCGCCCCCCCTGGCCAGGCCCTGCCCACCTCCCTTCCCCTTCCCCCCTCCCAAATTGTAGAATAACACAATTGAACTTGAGAGACACAAAAGGTTCCATACATGTTTCACCAATAGCATGAAGAGATCGCTGCACTAGATTATGGGAAGAGCACCACTCCTTTTCAAGGCTAGGATTCAATACTAATATAGATTTTTCCCCATTAACTGCAGCCTCTTGTTTTAGTTGTTCCAATCGATCTTTATCCTACAAACACAGAGAAATATGCAAAAAGATCAGCTGACCAAGCTAAAGAAAATAAGACCAGCAGATATAAACAGGGAACATGAAAGGAATACATGAACTTTGAGTGATAAGCATGAGAATATGTGTGTGTGTGTGTGTCTGTGTGTGTGTGAGAGAGAGAGAGAGACTAGCTATGGTTTCATAAAGAAGATAGGATCAAAATAGCGACAGAGATAAAGGTGTCTTTTTCAAGCATATCAAAATCAAAACCATCAAAGGTTTCTTTTTCAAGCATACCAAAATCAGAACCATCAAACAGAGAGAGGTTTGTTTTTCAAGTATACCAAAATCAGAACCATCAACCAGGCAGGTTTTCCTTTCAAAGGTTTCTTTATCAAGCATACCAAAATCAGAACCATCTATCAGAGATAAGGGTTTTCTTTTTTAAGGATACCAAAATCAGAACCAACAAATATAACCTAGATCTAGGTCAATCAGGAAGTACCAAATGAACATATGAGAGAAGAAAAGAAGATGTGAAGAGGATGAACAAAGATGAAGGAAGAGGAGAGAGAGAGTTGCATTGACGGAAGAAGAGGAGAGAGCAGGACGTGTGTGAGAGAATGAGAGGTGAAAAAGAGTCACATGATGCTCTTGCAGGATCAGTTCCATATATATATTTTAATGATATGAGAAAATTTCAAGACATGCCCTTGTTTAAGTAAATAGCTCAGACATTGCCCTATTTATTATTCCATTTATGTCCCTAACTTGCTACTACACGTTCAACACTCCCCCGTCAAGATAGAGCATCACTATCAAGCATGCCCAGCTTGATAACTATAGCTTGCAGTCTATCACAGGCAAATGCCTCAGTGAAGGTATCCACTAGTTGACAGCTAGCTGATCTCTCGATTTCACATGAGTACAAATAATTGTTGCTGCAACATTTTCCCCTATGAACGACAGCCAACCACGATATGGTTTGTTTTCTCATGGGATACAGGTTTCTCAGAAATGTGGATGGTTGCTTTATAATCACTAAAAAGTGCCATAGGTAATTGATCTTTAACTCCCACATTAGCCAATATGGTATTAACCCGCATAACTTCACACACTCCGTGTGTCATAACCCTGTATTCAGCTTTAGCACATGATTTGGCCAATACATTCTTTTTTTAACTCTTCCATGAAACCAAATTACCACAAAGAAAGGTAAAACCTGTAAAGTCAACCTGCCATCAGTCTAAGAACCTGCCAAATCTGCACCAGTGTAGATTGTATCACCCATATGACTATGATCAGTAAACAACAAACCTCTCCCAGGAGATGATTTGAGATAATTTAGGATGTGAAAGCAGCATCCAAAAGAGGCTTTTGAGGGGCATGCATGAGTTGACTAACTTCACTAACCACATAACATATCTGGCCATGTAATTATGAGGAATATAATATTGCCCACTAACCTCTGATATCCACGACGATCCTTTAGTAACTCTACCGCTGTGCATGAAGTCTACGATTGATTTCCACAGGAGTATCTAATGGTTTGGCTCCCAACATTCCAATTTGAGGTAATATGTCCAGCATAGAGATAGCTATTCCCTTCTTTGACTTTGCCACTTTAATACCCAGAAAATATCTAAGTGGACCCAAATATTTCAGGGCAAACACTTTACTGAAGTAGAATTTAAGATCTTAAACGTCTGCTAATGAATCCCCTGTCACTATAATATCATCAACATCCAATATGAGTCTTGTAATCCCAACAAAAACCTTTTTTTTTTTTAGAAATGGCTTTCAACGATTGTTAAGTGTATAAATTGCCTTTTTTAATCTGCACACCTTTCCTGTCTCTCCTTGAAACTGAAAACCTAGGGGCATGCCTACATAATGTAGGGACCCAGGTTCACTAGCAGCTGAGGGAAGAATCACCTATAATTACCCGAATCACGTACCAAGGTCGCGATTCCGGTTTAGAGTCGTGATTCCACAGTTCTCAGGATGATACACAAATCTAGAACATAGGAATCACATTTCTCAGGATGATACACAAATCTAGAACATAGGAATCACATTTCTCAGTTTCATGGAAAGCGTTCCAGATTATTATCTGAATCTCGATTCTTGGAAGGTTGGAATCTAGATTCCATATCACGAAATCTGAGATTCATAGTTGCATAACAATGCGATTCAATGTGTGCGAGACGTCGATTCCAATTTTCTAAGAATCGTGAATCCATGTTGTTTGAAAGCGAGTCTCACATCATCAAAAGGCGAAGTTGTTAGATGCACCAAACAATGTTTCAATCAAACATCAAATAAATTCTAATGACACGCAATCAAGATTCAAATTCAAATGTTGAATTAAATACGTTCATAAATTATATGTTGCGGGAGGAGCTCTAGGAACCGATTCTATGTTACCGAAAGAGTTCCACAAATCATTTCATATCATGTTACAATTTTGTACAAGATTAAATATCCATGATTTGGGTTTCCAGGCTGTAACGTTGTGAGAGCTAAAAAGACTTAATAAACTTTCGAGATGAATCCATATACAATAATATATGCAGAGTTACCCAATAGATTTATCAATCTATAAATCATGAAGGGGGTGGAAGTCCGACCTCAAGGTAAGACATTTGGGTGGTAGCCCCACCTCAAGGTAAGATGTTCATATAGGTGCTTGCAATAACCAAATGCTTATTATTGATAATTTACTGTACCAAGTAAAAGGTTATGTGGGGCATGTTTGGTGAGTGATCAACAAAATGCCTACCAAGTAAAATGTTTATCACTCCTTGTGTTATTGTATATTTGGTGGGGCATGGACTTAAACCACTAAAAGAAAGAAAAAGAAAAGAGGAAAATTTCTACGTACGCCCTTTTCTAGAAAACTATTTCTCAAGAGACCCAAGGTTTCAAAACCTTTCTGGAAGGATAGTATTTCAAACTGTTGTATCTTCCAAACCCCTAGACCCAAAATAAGCACCTTTGACCACACATTCTTGATTCAAACAAAATGTTAAATAACACCTATTTCTTTTCTATCTAAATGTTTCTCCTTTCTCCCTTCAAGCCTAAACATCTCTCTCTATCTCTATGTAAATATCTCTCTCTCTAAACGTCACCTATTTCTTTTCTATCTAAACGTTTCTCCTTTCTCCCTTCAAGCCTAAACATCTCTCTCTCTAAACGTCTCTCTCTTTTGGAGAAAGAGAGGTTTAAGTCTATCTCTCTCTAAATGTCTCTCTTTAAACTCTCTTTAAAGAAAGAGAGAGGTTTAAGACAGAAAGAGACATTTAGACTTGAAAGGAGAGACATTTAGATAAAAAAGAAAAATGTGTCATTTAACATTTTGTTTTGGTCAAGAATGTATGGTAAAAAGGACTTATTTGGGTCCAAGGGATCGGAAGATACAATAGTTCGAACTCTATGCCACCAGAAAAGTTTTGAAACCTTAGGTCTCTTGAGAAATGATTTTCCAAAACAGGGTATATAGAGAAATTTTCCCAAAAACAAAATGGGTTAATGGAGATCGAAATTCATGCCCATTTGGGGTCTCTGGAGTTTGAGGAAAATGCAACATCTCGGTTTTTCATGCAAATACCAAGCAATAATATTATCTATAGTATCTGATTGGTTTCACATGGATAATTTGGGTCAAGTTATAGTTGGTTGTTGGAAATGCCTATGATTCCAATTTGTGTCAAGAATCAGAATCGCGGAATTGCATGTTCTAGATGATTCCTAATCTCGGAATTGTCATACATACAATGAAAGCCATTGGAGGCATGATTCCCAATAATTGGAATCGCGATCCAATAAAATACGAATCGTGACTCTTATTTGTAGGAATTGGTATCCCATGATGTTGGAATCGAGTCTCCTACTTTTCAAGAATCGCACATGATCCCACATAGTTCAATGACTTTCAGAATCACGATCCGACGAAATAAGAATCGTGATTCCTACATTACTGGAATCATTGTCCCCATCGATTGGGAATCGAGATTCCCACAATTTAGGAATCATGCACCCATCCCCTTCGGTATAAGAGAAGTATTTTACGCGAAAAGATTTAAAGTTTTACATAGGTAATTTGGGTCACCCAAAATATGACCAAAATTACCTATATAAAACCAAGCAGATACCATAGATGATACTATAACTTCATATTACCTTTAATTACCAAGATATTGCATTTTTCTCAAAATCCAAAGACCGCAAGTGACGATAAATTTCATTCACAATTAACCTATTTCCTTCCTTTTTTCTTTCTTTTTAGGGGTTTAAGTCCGTGCCCCACCAAATATACAATGACACAACGAATGATAACATTTTACTTTGTACCGAGAAGATCACTAATAAGCATTTTATTTATCACCCACCAAACATGCCCCACATAATTCGTTACTTGGTACAGTAAATCAACCATAATAAGCTTTTGGTTATTGCAAGCATCCTTTACCATCTTACCTTAAGGTAGGGTTGCCACCCAAATGTCTTACCTTAAGGTAGAATTGTCATGCACTTCGTGCATGACTTCATGATTTACATATGGACACGATTTCTATGCGGCCAGCCCGCATATTGTAGAAATGTGGGCTTGGCAATAAATATATTTTTTAAATATAATGTAATCCTAGGTTTTAGAGAATATATAAACTTTAACATGGAGATCATGAATATAAATAAAATAAAATAATTGAAAACTACAAATAATAATTATATTAAGAAAACATTTGACCCGTTAGTTACACTTGTTTTTAAATGGACCACCTATTTGCATCCATCTTTAAGATGGATGCTTTATACCTTTGGATCGCATATTGTAGAAATGCAGTCCAAACCGCATGAAACAATTTTCCTTTACATATTCATTAAGGCTTTTTTTAAATGGACCACGTCTTTGCATCCATCTTTAAGATGGATGCTTTATACCTTTGGACCACATATTGTAGAAATGCGGTCTAAACTGCATGAAACATTTTTCCTTTACATATTGACTTCGGCTT